TATGCTTAATTAGTAGTATGTGAGTTTTAGTCCCACATTGACTAATTGAATGCATTTTAGTTGGTTCAAATTAACATGTGTGTTATATATGGTATAAAAAAGATATTAGAATTATACATTTGTATTGGTATATAAGTGAGCATGCAAGCAAACGGGCACGTGCGTGTTGGCACGTGCGCGTGGTCCGACGCGTGCTCCTTTTGCATGTGTTGTATTTAGACCTTCCTGAACGTGTACGTTACAAACGTTATAAGGTTTAGATGATGGTTGTTGCAGACGTTACAAACATTGCAATAACTGACGTTCAAAGCTTTGTCTAAACCTTTAGCTCACATGAACCTTATAAGAAGGGCTTCCTCTGGTCATTTTAAAACACACAGAAGACAAAAATGAATTCTCCTCGTCTTCTTTTACAATTCTATAAATTGTTAGCATTGAAGATTCTAGCGAACTGAAATTATAGTCGAGGTGTTCAACAGAAGAGAGCGCTCATTCGGACTATAGCTGTCTCATCCTCAAAAATACTGTGCAGACCCAACGCTACCGTAAGTATGGCATAATTTCTTCAAGATCAGCCCTCTGTTTAGAGGGCGATTCGACATTTCTATAAAGGATCTCGAACTTTAAGTTAAGCCGTAATGGTGTTCTTAACCCTATGCTTTTTTTTCGCTCCTATGTGGTTTGTTCTGCTTATTTTTGGATCCGTTTTTATTCTTATTTTTCCTAAGAACATATGCATGCACAGTATACCTCACCTCAACTTCCAACCCAAAAAAATTAAAAAAATTACACACGCATGATACATTGAAGCACATGCATGCACAGAAGGCACTCCTCTACGAGTATATACATGCATGGCAACAAATGTACAAAATGCTCTCCCTCCCTCCCTCCCTCCCTATCAATATATAAATATAGATATACGTTCATAGATGGCTCGAAACACTTGAAAACACAAACTATTTTGAGATTGCCTTGAATCAAATGCATGGTTTTGACGATATTCTTTCAAGAAAGTTAAATGCTGACGTCGTGCGAAGAAGAACAGACTCGACTTTTACACCTTCTCAATCTAGTGAATAATAAAATTGGAAACTGTGGTCATGAATTCTTTGCTGTATGGTCAGTCTGTGTTAGCGTATGTATATAAGTTACATATTAGTTCAGAGTTCTTTTTTTTTTCCTTCTTTTTTTTAAGTAATTAATATCAGAAGATTTGAAACACGGACACTTTAAAAACCTCTAGTTTGGAATTCTAGATGGGAAAGGGGTAAGAGACTGAAAAAGGCTATCAAACTGGATCCTCACTTATTACAAACTGTAGCTATACCCATTAGCATCCTATGTCACGCACGTGGCTCAATCATGTCATGATACACTGTTTATGAACAGTGTATCATGTAACCGGATGGTGACACCTCACCTGTCTCATGCCTCGGATCCCCTATTTGGATCCTTGAGGCATTAATGCACATTGAAATTAGTAAGTTACATAAATAAATATTATTTTTTCATTTAAATGTTATGAAAGCCAAATTAACTTCCGTGACATTTTTTATGCTTATTTTTGTTACGCTGACTATAAATGGAAAAATCTCCCATTTTTACAGCAGATGTAGAGACTGACCCTATAAACCTATAATTTGAAGTCAGGTATATGCTGAAACAAACCGGAGTCTTGTTTAACAAGTTTTAAAAAGCATATACAAAGTGTAAGATATACGACAATTAGTAAAATACAAATGTTTAAAGTTGAAACATGTATTATATAATTAAACAAAGACTTCATAAATAGAATATATATATATATAAAATATATAATAATATATATATATATATATATATTATATAATATATATATAATATATATATAATATATATATATATAATAATATATATATATTATATATAATATCAAGCTTCAGGGAGGTCATCAAGAGGTGCCAAAGAGTATAGATGTCCGGTATGGGTTGAGAAATGTGGGACATAGGTGCAGCTTCATGCTAAAAAGTGTTCATGCATCAGAGATGGCAATATAGCAGAGCAGAGATGAGACAAAAGAGAGGAGAGGAAACACAAAGGCTTAGCTGAGATCCAGTCTACAGTTTTTTTTTTTTTTTTTTAAAGTAGATCCAAGTTTAGGCTCAAGGATCATTTAAGCCTACATATCTTGAATAAATATTAATCAAGAACCTAACATACTGTTATTTTGAACCTCAAAATGTCTGGTGTATTAAATAAAACAAAAATGTCACCAAACAGCCTATAATTTCCAGAAAGCAATTTACATATCAGAACATTTCTCATTGCGGAAAATCCTATAAAACAATACTGCAGCCGACATCGTACATTGCTTAAGCTAGATGTCAAAGAAACATGCATCAAGAGTTCAAGACAACCGAAGGATTATAAAAGGATACAAATGATTTGATGGTCATTAGTTAAAAAAGATATTGAGAAAAATGATCATCCTAGACGCTAAAATTCAAATTAGAAGAGACTCGCATGGAAAGACCAAAGGGAGTTGAAGCAGATATGTTATAAGTGGATTGTTTGCTGTCATCTTTTCACAATCATGCTAAGTGGTTGTTTAGAACTAGTGAAATCTTAAACCAAATTGTGAGATTAAACCAAAAAGTTAAATAAGAGAAACAGACTTTAGTTCATATCTCGACAAGAAGTTGAAAATCGTACAGTGGTTTTGGGATTGGCAAAGTCCAAACACCTGAAACATAACAAGCTACATTATAAATAAAATTATAAAGTGTACAGTAAGTTTAATTTATCCGGCAAATTAAGCCCATTTTTACGATATAGCTTGTCTGCCGTTGAAAGCAAGCAAACAAGCTCCTAGGAAAATTAAAGCTAGACCCCCTGCTCCTTTTTGCTTTATAATCACTTGCATGATTAGAGTGCTTACAAATAACCAACACTGAAATATGGAGGGAAAACACTCTGATAACTTCGGTTTTAGGATTAAAGAAGGTACAACAGTAAAGACTGCAGCATTTGCTTTAACATGATCCGGCTGTGGAGATGCAAAGTCCAGGATATAATTATATAACTGAAGTGGAACAAGCAATCAGGAGTAGTTCATCACACCGAAAGTGCGCTACGTGGTTAATCATCTGCTGATCCTATAAAAAAAACTATACAAGCCCAGTGCGACTAACTATACTAGGTGGCCTATCATCTCATTAATCTTATTCGATTGCTGCCCGTGACAACTATTAGAGGATGAACTTCTTCACACGAGAAATTTCTTGTACACAAAGAAAAACAAATAGGGACCTGCTGCTTCAAAGATGCACATAATATATACACAAACAAACTGCGACAAAAATGGATCTCATATCATCTCCTAGAACCTACTTAATTCTCATACTCAGCTCATTTCTTTACGGCACTCTTCGTTTCGTTTCGTTTTTTTTTTAATGATTCATGATCTACTTCACTGTAAGATGGCTTGTGAGCGGCTGGTAATAAAGAGCCTTTACTAACAAGGAAACTGACATGGAGTAGACAGAGAAGAGAGGCACACACATAGCAGCATACAAGATATCATCCATTTCAAGAGAAGTTGATACAAAAAGATGAAGGAAGAAAATTTATGCAGGAAAGCAGCTCAAACTTTTTTATCAATAGCATTTATTTAAAATATAATAACATGAAGTCAAATGCATGATAAACTATACTAGCTCAGATAACATGTCACAAGAGTATGCTTGTGAATACAACGAAAAAAAATATCAAGAACATATATTTGTGTCGGTCGTCAAATATATGAAAGCTTCCTTATATTATCACAAGAACGACGATCCTCCTAAATTCTTGCATACGATCTATTCATGTAAAGCTTTCTGCATCCATAAAAGAACCAGACGGGTCCAAAGAGAAGCAACCATATAACGAGGTAAAAATAAAAATAAAAAGAAATAAAATCTAAGTATACTAATCTTTTCAACTCATTGATAATCAAAGGTTGAACTTTAAAGTCACTACAATGGTGATTCTCTTAAAAAGTCGGTGCCTTTTGCAATCATCCGAAGCTTACCGCTGCATCAAAACTACGTATTCAATAAATAAACACACTGAGATATGGATGTCCCTTCTTGATTGGAGAAAATTAACCAACCAACCTAGGATAAACAAGCATCCGACAAGATATAATAATAGCAAAATTAAACTAATGAAAACATAAAACCTGGCAAAAAAAAAAAATTTGGGGGAAAACGTTAGGGTTAGCCGAACCACTAGAATTAGACCTAAATCCTGCAATCCGACGGAAAATAGATCAAATCTCTGGGTAAAAATTGGTACCTCGAAGAAAATTGACCAAAATAAACACAATGAGGTATGGATGCCCCCTTCTTGATTGGAGAAAATTAACCAACTTAGGATAAACAAAGCATCCGACAAGATATAATAACAGCAAAATTAAACTAATGCCCTGTTTGAATGGAGGGTAGAGAAGAGAAGGGGAAGAGAAATTTTGGTTTATTTCTGTTGGGGGTTCCATTTAGAATGGTAGAGGAGGGGAATGAAGAGGATTAAAAAATGAACTAAAATCTTATCCCCCATTTAGGGGTTAAAGAAGGGTAAGGGCCCAAACACCCCCACAATGAAAACAGAAAACCTGGCAAAAAAAAAAAAAAATTGGGGAAAAACGTTAGGGTTCGCTAAACCACTAGAATTAGACCTAAATCCTGCAATCCGACGGAAAATAGATCAGTAAAAATTGGTACCTCGAAGAAAATTAACCAAAATAAACACACTGAGATGTGGATGTCCCTCCTTGATTGGAGAAAATTAACCAAGTTAGGATAAACAAGCATCCGATAGGATATAATAATAGCAAAAAATTAAACTAATGAAAACAGAAAACCTGGCAAAAAAAAAAATTTGGGGGAAAACGCTAGGGTTCGCTAAACCACTAGAAGTAGACCTAAATCCTGCAATCCGACGGAAAATAGATCAAATCTCTGGGTAAAAAACCGTACCTTGAAGGGCTGGAGTACTCGTAGAGCTTTCCTTTGGCCGAGAAAATGATGAGACCTACCTCAGCATCGCAGAGCACGGCGAGCTCGTTGGCTTTCTTCAACAATCCGCTCCTCCGCTTCGAGAAGCTGACCTGGCGACTGGTCTTGTCCTCGATACGCTTCAGCTGAACTCGTCCTCTCCCCATTTTTTGAATTCGGACCTCAAACACAAGTCCTAGCTTTTATTTGGAGGCGGGGGAAGATTTTTTTTTCTCTCTTTCTTTTTCTCCGTAGTTCGAGGTTTCGTGAGGCTCCTTTTGAAGGGGAGGGCGCTCTCATGATGAGATTCCAGGCACGATCCTGCCACTGGCAGTAGCGACAGTGACAGGACCGCCATTACTCTTTTAACTTCGCCCTGTTGTGTCTATTATTTGCTGTGTCACAACAGCTGGAGAGGCGCGCCGCTGGTGCTAATGTGCGCGGGACCATCCCGTCGCACGTGTGGGACGAGTGGTGGTAGGACACTCAGCGGTTGTGGGAAAGGGCGGGCACGTGACCTCTTTCGATTGGGCTAGGCGCCTCGGCAACCGGCTCTTTGGGTGGCTCCCCCGCCCTGATGATGAAACGGGGGAGCAAGCGACGGAATAAAAAACGGATTCGGATCAGACTCCGAATTGTTTTAGATCTGACAATATCCATCCCAATGCGGGCCCTTTTATTTTTGCCGGTCAGCGTGTACAACATGTAAATTTGGAACGCTAAATATCAAAAGAACTCCCTTCAACTTGGTAACTTTCAAAATATCATAAAAATATCCTTACTTTAGGGGTTATCATGAAATCCTCAATAACTTGGGCTATGTTTGGAAACGTGGATTTGCACTCAGGATTTAAAAACCAGGGTATTTCAAATCTAAATCTTTAGTTTGGATTTTAAATTAGACTAAGATTTCAAATCAAATTATTTTGGAGAGATGGATTTGAAAGTCCAAATATACGTATTTCAAATAGCATACTTCCCCTTGGTATTTATCAAATCCCTACGTGGACTCGCTTCTCTTTCCCTCGTGTTCAAGTCCGACCACTTCTCTCTCGACACCACTTCTCTCTCGACACAGGTAACCTCTATCTCCCTCGTGTTCAAGTCCGAGCACCTGAGGTGGCTCGGCCAATGCCGAGCCACCTATTGGCCGAGCCACCTTGAGGTGGCTCGGTTTTGGCGAGCCCTCTAGGTGCCGTTTTTCTGCGCTTTTCCATCTTTCGGTTTCTGTCCGTGATTCGATTGTGTGGCTGACTTGTTCGGACTCGATTCGCTGACCTGATTGGCCAGTAAATCCACTTCTGAGTTCGAGTCCGAAACTGATCTTGATTCGATCGTGATTCGTCCGAGTCCGCTCTTAGTTGGATAACTCGTTGATTCCTCAACCCGTTAGCTAAATTCCGCACGCGAGTGGATTTATTCCGTTGTTTGCGTGCGGTTCGTTAGCCTCGTAGCCTCGTTAATCCGTTTCGTCGCGTATCACTTGGCTTCGGTGTTGTGGACTAACAATCGTGTTCTGCATACGTCGCCGATGGTCGGTTCGTCGAATCGGCGTCGTCGAGTTGTGTTAAGGGAGCTATAGGCTAGTTTTATACGGCCTCAGACCTACCCCCTCCAAAGTATTTCAGCCTCGTTCTTTTATAGAAGAGTCTGTAATACTTTGGATATGATTGTCCCATCCTATGATTGGTTACGACTGGATATTTGGAGTGGCTTCCATTCGGATTCCTTCAATTCCTTCAGGCTATTCGGTGCTTTGTCGAATGTCTGTAAGGGTTCCGGTGCTGCATTTATTGTCTGACCGTCTGTCGGAATTTTAAATTTGAAGTCGATTCTCGATTTTCTAACTTTTTAGCTCGAGTTGGTTATTTCAACATAGAACTGACCATCGGTCGTCGGCGTTGAATCTTCATTTACAGCGCGTTGTCCGGCGTTTGAGCTTCCTTGTGACGCGTTGTCCGGCGTCTAAGCTTCAGTATACATCGCCATTGTTACGGGAATAGGCTACCCGGCGACACGTGTTAGGTGTTGACTTTATCCCTACTTAGGTTTCGGGATAAAATACCCCAGACTGGTCTTCTGGTGTCTTTTTCTACGGCGAAAGACTAAACCGGCGACGCGTGTTAGGCGTCGGCATATCCTTTCTTAGGATTCAGGATGAAATTCCCCATGCGTGTAAGGCATGGATTTTGGTGTTATTAATAACAACCTGCCACAATGTTGAATATGTGGACGGATGTTCTTTTCAACGGTTAAGAACTAACCGGCAGCGCGGGTTAAGCGCAGACTTATCCTTGCTTAGGTTTCAGGATAGAATACCCCAGAATTGAACTCTGGTGTCTTTTTCTTCGGAGAAAGACTAAACCGGCGATGCGTGTTAGGCGTCGGCATATCCTTTCTTCGGATTCAGGATGAAATTCCCCATGCGTGTAAGGCATGGATTTTGGTGTTATTAATAACAACCTGCCACAATGTTAAATATGTGAACGAGTGTTCTTTTTAACGGTTAGAACTAACCGGCAGTGCGCGTTAAGCGCAGACTTATCCCTGCTTAGGTTTCAGGATAGAATACCCCAGAATCGAACTCTGATGTCTTTTTCTACGGAAAAAGACTAAACCAGCAGCGCGTGTTAGGCGCAGACTTATCCCTGCTTAGGATTCGGGATAAACTTCCTAGATTGATAAATTCTTCTTTTTCAATCGGTGAAAGACTAAACCGGCAACGCGTGTTAGGCGTTGACTTATCCCTACTTAGGATTCGGGATAAAATTCCCTGTACCTGTGAGGCACAGATTTTGGAAGTTGAAAAATATGGTGTCTTCTCTTGGGGAAAAGACGAACCCGAAATGGGAGAGGAAGAATTTTATATTCTATCTCCCGATACTAAAGAAGAAGAATTTTATATTCTATCTTCAGCTGGAAAGGAGACTCGAGGTGGGATCTCCACCCCCAGAATCTGGAAAGGTGAAACTAAAAGTGGGATCTCCACTCCGAGAATCGAAAAGATTCAGATAACCCTAACTGTCGGAAGGTTTGATTACTGAACCAAAAATGAATTTCTCGTTTATCGAGAGTGAATTGTGGTTTTGGTCCTAACTGTAGGAAGATTTGACCAAGCAGGAGTTTGAGATAACCCTAACTGTAGGAAGGTTTGATCACTCGATTTGAAAGTAGACCTCTCGTTCATTAGAGGAATCGAGAGGGAATTTTGATTGTGGTCCTAACTGTAGAAAGATTTGACCAATTGGGAGGTTTGAGACGATCCTAACTGTAGGAAGGTTTGATCGCTTGGTCTGAAAATGGACCTCTCGTTCATTGAAGGAATCGAGAGGAGATTTTGGTTGTGGTCCTAACTGTAGGAAGGTTTGACCAGGTGACAGACCAAAATTTAACGCATTATGTCCGGACTCTAACTATGAAAATGTTGAGTGTACGAACATAGCGGAAGTTTGAATGGATAAAATTTGATAGAATTTGGTGGCCTCACCGTCAATTAATCTGATCGGCGAAAGATTTTGTGGTGGGAGACTGTGAGTCGTCAAACACCAATGAGAGTTTTGTGAGGGAAAATTGATCCATTGAAGTGATCGAATTTCATCTCAGCAAAAGAGTGATCGGGTTATCCCTACATTCTTTCGGGAACTTCTCATTACACAAATCGTCCACCCCCAGCTTCCTCTGCGGAACTGGTTCGGACATTATTCTCAGTTACCTGACTGGGTTAGCGGAACTGGTTCGGACATTATTCTCAGTTACCTGACTGGGTTATCCTTAAGGATATTAGCGTAATATTCTCCAGGAACTTCCCGTCAAAAGTGAGCGTAATATTCTCCAGGAACTTCCCGTCAAAAGTGGGAAACAGTTTAGACTCATATACCTATTAGAGTAGGCAGGGAGCAGTTTAACCTCATGCACCTGTTGGAGGATTGAGAAGCAGTTTATACTCTTATACTTATCGGAGTATGCAGGGAGCAGTTTAACCTCATGCACCTATTGGAGGATCGCCATTCTAACCTGGCTTATCCCATTATGACGCCGGCTTCAACCAAGGTCTGAATGCTATTCTTGAGAGCAAAGCAATCCTTGGTGGGATGAACGACCCTCCTGTGGTATGCACAGTACTTTGGGTCCGTAGTGTTGTCAGCTTCCTCCTGATTTGTGATAGGTGGTAGCTTGATCTTGTTGCTTCCAAGGAGGGATTCGAAGATGGCTGGAACGTCTTCGTCTTTGAAGGAATACTCTCTTTGGAGTCTTGGACCCGAAGTCTTTTGCTGTTTTCGGAGTTGCTTTTGCGACGTCTGGTTAGCGTCAACAGCTGTTGCAGGTGATTTGCCTTTACCACGAGAGGCAAAGTTCGAGTTCGGAGGATTAGCCGTCGGTCGGTTCCTCTCGGCCTTCTTCCTTCGGAGGAAGCGTTCGGCTTGTTCACCGCGCACCTTCAAGTCTTTCCAAGTGTCAGACGGTGTTGTTCCCATCGTTTCCAACACGTCCAATGCAAGGTTGTTGTAGCAAGTCTGGAGGATGAACTCCTCAGTGATCGGGTCCCGACAGTTCATCGCCTTGTTCCGGAACCTCTTGATGAAGGTGTCGACCAGCTCCCCTTCCTTTTGTTTCTCATCGAGCAACGTTCCGATGGATATTTCGGTGTCGTCGTCGAAGAAGTTAGCGAGGAACTTAGTCTACATGTCGTCCCAGCTGTTCACGCTTCCTGGCTTGAGGCGACGATACCAATCGAAGGCGGCTCCGCGAAGAGTGCCAACGAAGGACCGTACCATCAGAGGCTCATTACCAGAGATAACACCCAGGTGCGATTTGAAGTAAATCAAATGCTGAGTGGGTGAACCCTTCCCATCAAACGGCGTGAAGTTAATCAGACTGAACTTCGCCGGATAGGGGATTGATTCCCATTCTCGTGGGTATGGACAAGGGATGCCCATCTTCTTCATTTCTTGAGCGGAAATCCACGTATTGATTTTGCTCTCGAGATTTTTAATCTTCAGGTTTTCACCTGATTCTTCATCAGCATTCTCATTACCACCCCCTGCATTGACGGGAGGATTATTGGCATTATGAGTCTCGTTCGCATTCGTGTCCTCATCTTCCTGATGAACCTGGTTACGACGACTTGGCTCGCCTTGCTGGTTCGTCAATGCCTGGATTTGTTGGTCATGCATTTCTCTCATGTTCTGCATGGCCATCTGCATTTCGAATCTGAAACTCTCCTGTTGTTTGGCCATGGCCTCTTCGAGCATCTTGGCTACTTGTTCTGCACTTATCATGAGTGCCTCGCGGGGGTTGTCCCTCGCTGGATACCGTGTTGTCCGATGCAATCGCAGAGCAGGCATC